GCTTCTTTGGCTTACATGATCCAAGTCATCACTGGTAGCTGACTCCAATGAAAGAGATGACCCCTTTCAACCTCCTCCAAAGTTGTAAAAGCAGACTTCATGTGACATTGTACTGGACTGGGCTAATTCTACAAGAAAAATCAAAACTTTTAATAAATTATAAATACACAGAAACGTAACAGCACATAATGTGGGTGAAACCCATCTGTTGGCACTTTGACACATGTGCATATACCTTGCCATTCAGTCTACCAAGTGGGTGAACATGAAGATTGCTTCCTGTGTTCCTCCAGCACGGCTACTGAGACACACAGCCAGCTGCCATTACACTCTAGTAAATATTTCCACTAGAAAGGTATGGCATGGGCATCTGCCACCTTGAGTGAGGAACCAATTAAAAGACAATTTGGTGAGTGCTGTGGTTGGGAAAGCCCAGGAAGCAACCAAAGACTGAGAGGGAAGTTCTAACACCAACTTAGAGAGAAACATTCCAGATTACATTGGGGAAGCAAAGACCAAGCCGAGCTGTGATATAATAAGACAGAGCGGAGATGGGATGTGCCAGGTGAGGTCTGTGCAAAGGTCCCAATAACGGAAAGAGCAAATGGAGCGTTTGGGGAACTGAGGGTTCCAAGTGGCCGGAGCGTGCAGTGGGTGACAGGGCCGAAGGGGCAAACTGAGGCCAGTGTGTGGGGAGCCTCATCAGTCATGGTGTGATTTGCAGTTTGTCTTGAAGGCAAAATGGTACCTACCTTTTAGTTTGTTTCAGTTTTCCTCTCAATTGTACACACATAGAGCTTTAAATACTTTCTTTAATAAAAGAAGAGTATAATCAACTAATTCTCTAAATAGAGAAAGTCTGCTCGCTGGGCGGAGGCGGCGGGGAGAAGTGCACACCTGTAATCCCATCACTTGTAAGGCTGAGGCCGGAGGAGCGGCATGAATTTGAGGCCAGCCTGGGCAACAGAGTGAGTTCAAGGCCAGCCTGAACTCCATATTTGAGACAGTAACGAGACTCTGTCTCAAAAAAACAAAAAACAAACAAAAGAAGAAAGCTCAAGTGAGGGAAACTCAATCTAACAATGATATAAGGATAAAACAGAAGCAATAAGAAAGGACATACGTGCACTGATAGTGTCTGCCTCTGGGAGAAAAACTAGGTGTCAAACGGTGAGAGGGAGCATGTTTTGGTTTGGGGTTATTTTTGCAAGCGGAATCAATGTAATGCAGGACACATTTCATAAGATTATTTATAATAGTCATCCAAAGAATGATGTACAAGAGAGTACAGGAAATCTGTCCACACACTATAGACCAGGGCCTGGCTCCCATGATAATGTCCTACATGAGTCCAGCTGAATACCTTGAGCCCATAACAATGCCTCTCACAAATCCAACTGGAGGCCCAGAGCCCATGACAATGTCTCATTCAGGCCTGTGTCACGGATATGTGCTGGGAAGGCCCAAAGGTCAGTGGTGGAATCTAGGAAGTCTGTGCCAGCGGAATGAAGGATCTGTGCTAGCAGGCTGAGGGATCTGCACTGGACCCAGGAAGCGACACACTGTTATGGTTGATACAGTGTTATGGTTGATATGTGTCAACTTAGGGAGTCTAGAGGTTTGGCTAAGTGACTCAGCAGGGAGCCAGGGTGCTTACTTTGTATATATCCTGAGCCTGTGGAAGAGGAGGGCATGGAGATTATGTGAGAGCTACAAGCCCCTTAGGTGGGGGTAGCCTGTTTACAAAGTAAGGCAGGGAAAGAAGCTGCTTGCCGCCATTCCTCCCTTTTTGCTCTGGCTGCTTTGCTGTTCGGCTGCCATTCCCCCCTTTGCTCTTGTTGCTCTGCTACCTTCTGCCTCGGAGCCAGCCAAGCATGGACTGAAACCTCCACAAACTGTAAGCTAAATAAATGTTTCCTTGCTTCATTTTGGGCGTTGGGTATTTTGTCTCAGCAACGAGAGAAAACTAACCAAGACACACACAAAGTAAGAATCAGAGCTCCTCTGAAAAGTACCACAGCCATCCTCAGCAACACTGAGGTCCCTAGCTCTCCCAGTGGTGAAGACAGCTGAGCTCCCATCAGGAAATCCAATGAAGCAAGCTTTTCCAGGAGACTAGCAGTGCACCATCTTCCCCTGTGGAGCCAGGAAGTGATGCTCAAAGTGAGGACCAGAGCTCCCCAAAGTGAACTGAAGGCATTCTCAGTGACAACAAGGTCCTGAGCTCCTTGAAGGATGAAAACAGCTGAGTTCACCAAGAAAGCCAGCATCCTCCAACAGAACCAACAGCTCCTCCAACAGAACCAACAGCTCCTTACCGCTTCTTCCAGCTTCCAACAGCCTCACTTCTTCTTCTCCAGTTCTTCCTCTTATGCTGCTGGCAACAGTCCTCAGGTGGGCCTCCCACACCCAACACTGTGCTAACTCAGTTCCGCTGGGGCTTATAAGTTGACCACCAGTTGTCAATCCACCACAGAGGGCTTATTATGTATTCCTTTTCCCCCCTTATGTATGTACCATTTACATATTTATTAAAAACTAAATAAACTATAATGTGAGAATACCCCAATCTATATAAAAAAAAACCCATGAATTTAATAGTTGCAGTCTCTCGCCCCATTTCTTACCCAGATAAGCTATGAGAAAGTCACTTGACCATGACAACATACTGATGTGGACGTGAAAAAAATCAAGGAAGCCTTAGTGAAGAAACAAGAGTTGGTGATGGGCAGAATGCAGGAAGCAAAACAGAAAGAAGATTCCAAATGAACCTTCCTGTTTGCCCTCAGGAGGGAGTTTGCATTTGCCCCATCTTGGCTTCATCATCTGTAATCTGGTAATAAGGATGCCAAATGTATTACAGGGTAGGAATGGGAATTAAGTATGGTAGAGCCTGGTTATTAAAAGGTGAACAAGACTTTATCTGGGAAGGAAGCTGAGGCATAGGCAGGTTAAGAAACCTCCAGGAGATTCCAATCTGGTGTGGAGGAGACATACAGTAAATAGGCAGTTTCAGCACACTATGATAAGTTCTCAGGGTGGGCATCTGGTATGCTAAGGAACATGTAGGTAGGATGCTGTCTTCCTCGGGTTCCCCAGGAATAAAGCCTGAGATGGGGCTCCAGTGTAAATGTCTGAGGAATATTCTCAAAAGAGGCCTATGAGAGTGAAAGAAGCAGCACACAGGGCAGGAAAGAAACTAGGCAAGATATACGTCCACCTGAGAGAGGCTATGCTGGAGAAGAGCCAGTGGTCCCCCAGAACAGTGGCCAGGCAAATGGTTCATTTTTGTATCTCCTATAGCAGTGGTGGTGAATGCATGGCACGTGTGCCACAGCCAGCTGTTTGTTATCACTGAACGTGCTAAAAGGTTCGCCATCACTGATCTATAGCATCTTCACACTGTCAGTAAGCACCCTGTCATTGTGTACTATGTTCTACCTTCATGAACATCAAATGCTTCTCAGAAGAATTTGTGGCTGTAGGCCGCCTGCAAACGTGTCCCTCGCATTTCTGACCTGACGCTGAGCGTAGCTTGCACAGACCGGTGAAGCAGGAGCAGTGATGGCCCACTGGGAAGGAGCCGAAGGCTCCAGATGCCCTTGCAGAAGTCCACTAACTAGTTTCCCGGAATCTAGACATTTAGTCACTTTCCTGAGACACAGACTAGAATATGTCATATCTTTAACTCCTTCAAAAGAGATAGGTAAGAAGTGGCAAACTGCTTCTAGGAAAGGAAACAGGACCCCTGGAGTTTGAGCGAGAGACTGGCTTTTCATGATTATTCTTGTGTAGTGTTGCGGAGGGGTAACAACGTGCATGGCTTTGTTCACTATTTAAAAAAACAAAATCCTCTCCTCAAAAGTTCCCGCTGCTTTCCACTATCGTCAAAGGAAAGCCCACTTCTTGACTTGCTTTATAACCTCTCCACTTCACGGCGCCCCAACCTCTCTAGCCCACTCGGCCTCGGCTGCCCTAGACTTCCAGTTCACCAGTGTCCTGCTTTTCCTTCTGCCTCACCTTTTCTTCCCTGCTCTCCTTTCTCCATCTTTGTCAGGAAACTTCAGTCTCAGCTTCAGAGGCACTCTTTCACGGCAGACTTCACTGCCTGAATCCCCACCCACTCGCTCAGTCAGCCTCCCCCGCTGGGCATCCCCGCATTTCAGCAGCAGGAACTTAAGAAAACCTGGATGTAGCATAATGAGCGGATCAATTTGCCTAAGAGGTCAGGGTCCTTTGGGGGCCAGCGCGGTGCACGGCGCGGTGTGTGCTCGGGAAATGTCAGCTGGATGAACCTAGTATCAGCCTTTGTTCATCGCAAGGGGTTGCCGTGAGGACCCGTGTGGGAAAGGGAGGCGACGAGGAGTGGCAGCAAGAGGCCCTCTTGGACTGCTTTCTTGTAGGCGGAGGCGACACTGTCATAGCCCCACGGCTGACAGCTCCAAAGGAGGGAGGACGACGAGGAAGCTCGAAGGTGCTGCAGGAGGAGAGGGAAGTCAGGCGGCTAATGTGCCTTTCGTTAGTCGTAACACGGCCTTTCCCCGAAGGAAAGGAAGCCGGGACCACCCGCTAGGCCCGAAAGCACCAAAGATGAACCTCCGCGACCTGGAGCGGAGGGCGTCCCGCGCCTGCGCACTTGGGCCCGCCCACGCGCCCGGGACCCGCCCCGCCCCGGCCTTCTGCGTGCGCACCGCCTAAAGCCCGCCCCCCAGAAAGACTGCCGGCGCATGCGGCCGGAGCGGAGCACTGGCTGCTGGTGGCTCAACGCGCCGGTCGCTGGCTCTGGTCTGCAGCTGACGGGAGGATCTGAAGCCGGTCTCGGGTAAGCTGAGTCCAGACATCCCGGAGGAGGCACTTTCCCGTGCAGGAGTCGGCGGCGCCCTTCGAGCGCGGTACGGACAGCCCCGCCACCGGTGATGGATGCCGCTCCCCACCAATCAGGGGCGAGGTGGACCGGCGTCCTGCCCAATGGGCTGTGTGTCTAAGGAGAGTGGGCGGGAGGCCCGGGGCGGCTGAGTGCCGGCTCCCGCGCGCGGGCCGCGTGGCCGGGCGCCGCAGGAGAGGGGCCCGTCGGTCCGGGGCTTCCGCGGAGCGCTACAGTGCCCGGTGGCGGCGGTCATCCCGGCCTGGCCTGTGGCTCGGAGAGCACTAGGGACGCGCGGAGTGCCCTGCGCTCAGCCTTCTCCCGGAAAGCAGCTCCCATCCCCGCTATCCGGCCGCCGTCCGGGGCTCTGTCCACTGGCAGGGAGCGCGCAGGTCCGACGTGCCCGCCGCCGTGGGTGGGCCGGGCGGCCGTGGCCCTCAGAGGCCGCGGCCAGGGCGAAGGAAGGGCCTGTGCGCCCGCCGGCCAGGCGCTGTCCCCTGGCCCCGCCGCAGTCCCCTCCTGTCCGCGGCCGCGTGTGAGGATGGGGCGTTCTAGGGAAGTTCACTGCGTGTGCGTGGCGCGCTTACGTCCGCGCTTATTGTAATTTCCTATCCTCCGCAGCCCAGTGACGCTGGCAGTACGTAGGACTCACCCCATTTTACTGCGATGTGAACCCGGGCTTACTGGGGACTCAAGTAGGGTCTCCGCGCACGGGCGTGGAGCTGGACTTGACCTCACAACTTTGATTACTGCCCTCCTCCCCCGCCCCCTGGTCTGTGGTGGATTATCTCTGATGCATCTTGATTTATGTTGCTTCTGTGCTTGAAAACCTGATGTCTTCCCATCACTTGCAGAATACAGTTCAGCTGGGCTTTTAAGTTTGCACGAGTGACCCGATGCCTTCCTCCCTACAGTTTTCTTGGCATTTGTCTTTGTTCTCACCTGCCTGTTCAGTCTCCCGTGCTTTAAGACCTAAATTAGATCGTGCAGTCTGTCCTTTAAGGCCATCAAAAGTCTGGCCTAGGAAACAGCGATAGGGATCTTCAGTCACCCCAGGGCGTCTCTCACTGCCCTCTAGTGAGGCTTGGTACAGTGCTGAACTGTGGTCCTGGCCCTGAAGACTTTCTCTTCTTTTTGATTTTACTTTTGCTGTCTTCCTATCATGTCCTTCTGTTTTCCCACCATCACTGAATTGCCCTTTTATTTTTAAATGTTTTTCTATCTGAAAATGGTTTGTCAGCAATTTGAGGTATGGTTAATTTTTGTGATCCCCACAAAATGTAAGTTGTCTCACACAGAGGGTATTCCATAAATGTGAGGGAGCGTCCTCTCAGCTTTTCTCAGGATCTCTGTGGCTGTTGGAATATTTATGGCCAGCCACTGTGGGGGATGCCAGGATCTCCCAGAGAAGGGTCACCTTAAAGTAAAATTAGAGCCAGTCAAATGTAAAGGCTTGAAATGTCTTTTGTAGAAGTAGCCCATTCAGTAATCCACTCAAGGCTGGCTGAGAAATTTCTAGGAACATACAAAATCTAGTCAGCATGAGATCTGGGTATATAGTCTCATCAAGGGATGACTGGTCAGGATTTAACTAAAATGTAGCCACGTTTGATTCATGTATCAATAAGGAACCATTCAACTTTAAGGTGACAGAGTAGTGTTTCCCCCAGTTATAGGGACTTAGGGCCAGTAAATGTGAGGAAAGTGGATACTGTATACTCCTAGGAGATCACAGTTCCTATTAACCTAGGAAACACTCCTAGTGGTCTTTCTTTAAAGAAAACAGATGACTGGTCGGCATTTCTCTGATTTATCTGTCCTTAAAAACCTTGTGGGGAACCCATATACATTTTGTGGAAACCAAGAGCATGCTCTTGAAGCAGCTGCAGCAGAGAATAGAAAGAGCGGAATAGTGTCTTCCTTACACTCCCAGGGGGAAGACGTTCTGAGCATTCTTATTTTTTGCCTAGTGTGTTCATTCATGCTCTGGGGAGGAGTGGGGCCAGGGAATGCCTCAAACCAAATTCCTGTTTCCTTGCATCTTTCTTATTTTGGTTATAATTTGGCTTCACAGGGAATGTTCCTAGAGGAGGAAAACGCCTTCCCCATGCCAAAGCAAATATTCCCTGTGACTTGGTGATCACGTTTCTTTTTTGGATGGTATGTGGGCTTGCCAAAAAAAATGGTATTTCTGGGCCTCAGGAACTGAACAGTGATGAATTCTCCCGAGGGAGCCCATCACCATCTCCTTACTAATTATTGATGCTGTTTTCAGCTACCTTTTGAGTCTGCTGTCGTTGAGTCCACCTCATCTCTCAAGCCCATTTCTTACGCTTCCTGCATGACTGTACTATTCTTTGGATTTAATCTCCCCTTTCTGCCTGCTCCGCCCATTGTGTGCTTCAGACTGGCTTATTTATTATCTGAGGTCCTCCCCACAGTACATACAGTCTGCTCATGCTGTACCTGGGAGAGATTGCAGTAAGGAGCAAGTTGTTATTAAATAACAGAAGAGAACTATCTGTGCTTGAAAGAATTTTGGGTTTAGCTATAATTATTTTATATGGTCAAGTCCTTTCCTGTTGGCCTGTCTTCCAAAACTTAGGGGAGCTGTGTTTTCTCAGTGATACATTGTAGCATAGCCAAACACATTATTGCTCTCATGGAGAACTGGCCTGCTTATTTAAGATTGCAAATTTTTTTCCCATATAGGGGGAACAGTGAGACACGTGTGGTATCCCAGTGTTTAGCAGTGATACCAGCCAGTATTGAAGGCAGAGTGTTTTGTCAACCCTTATAGAACTGTTTTTTGATTGTCAAGGTTGTCAGATGTTTAAACAAACTCTTCATTATTGTATGAGAGTTGTTTTTCTACTCATGTTTGACTAATGCCATTCAATATCCTAAGAAAAACATCTGTTATTGATTTAAACCTGACAAGGACATTCTGAACTTATGGGGCGTGGTCAAGAATTCATGTTTATGGCAAGTAATTGGCAAAGCCAGTATCTGAACACAGTTCGGTTTGTTGAGATATATTTTAATCTGTAATTTTTCTTCCAGGTCAAAAAGGAAAATGAAGTACATTCTAGTTACTGGCGGTGTCATATCAGGAATTGGAAAAGGAGTCATTGCCAGTAGTGTGGGCACCATACTCAAGTCTTGTGGCTTACATGTAACTTCGATTAAAGTTGACCCCTACATTAACATTGATGCAGGAACATTCTCTCCTTATGAGCATGGTAAGCAGTAGTCATTTCTTTCTTCCTTCCTTTCTCTCTCTAATTGTGTATGTGAAAGCACACCTTAGGTCTCGGGAATTGTTTGTGCATTTTGTTTTGTTTTGGCTTTTTTGTTTTTGGTACCAGGAATCAAATTCAGGACCTTGTGCTTGCTAGGCAGGCGCTTGTGCCACTGACCTGTATCCCCAGCCCTGTCTGAGCATTTTGTAATAACTTCCATTTCCTGCTTTCTAAAATGGTTCTTCGTATAGCAGAATGATGGGTTTTTTTCCTTATCTGGACAGGCAGAAGCAAAAATCTTAATAGGCAACTTAATGACTAGAGTCTAAAAATTTCTATAATGTAAATGATCTTTTTAGTAGCACCAAAATGAAAATTTGTCATTTCTCTTGAAAAAACCTACTTAGTGACATAATAACTTTCTTCAGATATTTGAAGAGTATGCTTTTTAAAAAAGAGGCATGAGAGGAATTTATTAGAAGTAGTTATAAAGCGCACTCAGGAGCAGAGTGCAGGCGCTCAAAGAAATGAGGCACAATGCAGTTGGGAACTGGGGATCTTTTCAGTGTTTTGGGAGGTGGAAATCTGGAATTTGATAATCCGTAGTCTTAGAGGGTGAGAGGATGGCCCACCCTTAGTGAGATTGTTCCTATGGCAAATGGCAGAAAGGCCATCCCTTCATGGGTGAAAGAGGATCATTTGGGAGTAAAAGAATGGGCAGACTTCTTTGCAGCTGAAAGGGAGTTGCCCTGATTTGCTCTTCTGGGAGAAGGGAAAGAGTAAGTAAACTGGGCTTGTGTTCTGAAGATGCAGTTTTTCTTTAACGTACAATTATTAAAATTTTGAGTTCCTTGTCTCCTTTCTGCCTAACTTTATTTCTTCTGTGCTACTTCATTTCCTCCTTGACTTTGGTCCTTTATTCTTAAGGGGTTGCAGAAGGCCAGTGGTCTGTCTTCAGTAACTGCTTCAGGCTGAGGAGGGGGACTGACTGGGTTAAAGGAGACATAGGAATATCAGGTTCCATCTTTTGATAATCTGAAAAAGAGGGCAAGGACATACAAGATACTAGCCCACAACAACAGTGAATCAGGTTGGTTGATCTGTGGTTTTAACCCAGTGCTCTTAGACCCATGGATACCCTAAGGTACATCTTCCTATCCACCCTGAAGGCAGCCAGGGTGATAAGTTCCTACCACAGCCACTGCGTAGTGTTTGGACCTGGCCATCTTATTCCAGCTCTTGTCTTCCAGTCAGTAGCACATAATAGTGTGATTACAGCTGTGGATAGGAACCCACCCCATACTGTTATAGGGGAAAAATGTAACTCCTAACCTGCTAGAGGTCAGACATAATCACAAGGTGGGAACAGTGTGGGTCAAAACTAATCAACCAGTAAGATTGCAAGTATAGTCACTTGGCTAATATTGATCCAATCTGCATTGTAAGATATTTGGCCCTAGGGATACCATCAACACCAGTTACAGTGCAGGTCTTAGTAGAAGGGGATCCAGGGTTTTACGTAAGGCAGATTTATAAGGCCCAATATCTAAAAGAAAATTAATATTTTTACCTGCCACATGAAGAATTACCTGAGGCTTATCCAGGGTGATGTCCACTTTGTTAAGAGGGGCTTTGAGACACTTCGGGCACCTTCAGTCTAGGGCAACCAACAGGGGAGCAGGTGGCCTCTCTCCTCTGTGGAGGAGAGGGCAGTCTCGTTTCCACGGTCTTCCCACTTTACAGTGGGGGCACAGCCCAGGTGGAGAAGGGCCCAGCCTACTTCGCTTCTTTCACAAGTGTGCAGGCTTTCCACAGCAGTAGCAGCCACCTGGTCTCTTATTTTCCCTCGGTGTAAGTGGAGTCTTTGAGTCACTCTGAGAAGGCAAGGCTCTGTTTTCTAATGACGAAGCAGGAAATTAGGCCTGTTCCTGGACCTGTCATCTCCCCTGGACCTTGGCATTTGCCACTACTTTGTCCCTGCTGTTGAAGACCCCAAAGGCCAAGTTTAAAAGCTCATTAATGGCTTCCTTTTGAAGTTTTCTGGAATATCTGGGGAAGACTGCTTGAGTACTCAATAATTCAACTTCCACCAGGTCTGACTGTTTAAGCTGGCTTTATTGGCACATGGGCAGAAGAGATTGTGGCAGATCCATGTAATTCTGGGTCTTCATACAGGGCCATAAAAACCTAGATATCACTTGGGAGGCTGAGACAGGAGGATCATTGAGAGTTTGGGACCAGCCTGGGCTACGAAGTGAGCTCAAGGCCAGCCTGAACTACAGAATGAGACCCTGTCTCAAAAAGACAAAACAAACAAACAAACAAACAAACCTGGACGTACAGTTTTTCTGTCCACTTTTCTGCATTCTTCCAAAATAGATCAAGCTGAAATATTGTATTAAAATTTAAGGTACCATTCAGAGGCCATGTCTCTGCACTTTCTAACTTATATTGACCCCATATTGAGTTACAAAGAAGTCTATGGCCATATGGGCCCGATCTCATCTGAATTACAAAGAAAAATCATCTTTTTCTATTTTAAATCTTCCCCTTTAAAAAGGTGCCAGTTACTCATAATATAATCTAAAGGTGACATTTTAGGGATAGAGACTGAGTTACCCATGTTCTAGAAAGGTGGACTGCCTGCTTCCAAGACTTCCCTTGTGTACTTTTGGAAAGAGATAAAGACAGGAAAAGAAAAGATGGAAACTGAGGTCGGCAGCTCTGCTGGTTTATGACCGGTATGAGCGTCCTTGTTCCTGGAACATGGCTACTCTAACACAGATCAAGGAAGCAGGAAAGTTGTACAGAATAGCTGGACTTCACTCAAAAATGTACTCCAAAGACCTTTATATCTAGAGACTTGTAACGTACACGAGGAACTCAGGTCTTAGAAGTCTGGAGCTTTTGCCTAACAAGAGATCACATATCAAGGAAGGCAGAGCCGCATGCTTCCCTGCCCCACTCCCACGCGGTGGGAGGCTCTAGGCTCCTCTACCCTCCAGCTCCCTACCTTTTGCTAACCAACAGAAAAAAGTTAAAGGGTTTGAATTTTCTGACAGATGAAATCCTGAGTGAGGGAGAGGAAAAAACTAAACCACTGGGAGGCAAAGGGCTTGGGAGAAAGTGGGGACAAAGAAAGAAAATACATAACTTTTTTGAAAAGCTGTTTGGCTGGACTTACCAAAGGATGCCTCTTTTTTTTTTTTTAAAAAAAACCTCCTGCTGCTGGCTCACCAAGAAGGAGGTCGTGCGCTGGGTCTGAGGCACCCCGAGGCTGAAATAAGGAACTTAACCCACCCCCTTAACAGAAGTATGCAGGTTCACTGACTCTTGTCAGGGAAGAAAAATTTTCATCCGTAAGAGAGGCCCGAAAAGGGTTTATTGAAAGTAGATATAGGACACAGGCAAGAGCCGAGTGCTGGTGCTCAAACAGATGAGGCACCATGTGCTTATTCTTTAAGTCCTAGTCTTCAGAAATTGCATGGGTGGATAAAATTTGTAAGGACATGGATTTGGGCCAGTACAAGAAAGACTTGTGTAATAGCAAGTGCCTTCTGAGAGCTGGGGGACCAGACTCTGACAGTTTCGAGTTGCCTTTGGTGGAGGTGTTTAAACAGAGGCCAAGGACCACTTTGTAGAGACTTAAGCAACAGGTAGATGCTGGATTTGGGGGATCTGTAAGCTTGAGATCCCGCTTTGCCAATGGCAGTTTGAATACATAAATGTAGATCTTTTGAGGTGAGTGAAAAGTCTAAACTATTAGACCTCTTTATTGCTGTTGTGTTCCTATTGATTGTGTGATGAATTCATTGTGTTTGAGTTACCTCAGATTTATTGCTTAAAACTGGGTAAAATGTACTGTTATTTGAAGTTTTAAAATTCTGCATTTTTACTTCTAACAGTGAGGTAAAAATCTATATGGTTGACTAGGTATCATTGTACAGAAAACCTCATGTAATGATTAGCATCAGGAGAAGACCCATATATGAGACAGGATCTATATCTATATCTACATCTCCACAAAAAGCGACTCACAGCTGTCAGAGTCTAGTCCCCCTACTCTCAGAGGGCACTTGCTATTACAGAAATCTTTCTTTTTGTTTGTTTGTTTGTTTGTTTTGGGGTTTTTCTCTGGCACCGGGAACCGAACTCACGGCCTTGCGCTTGCCAGGCAGGCGCTTTTGCCGCTGAGCTAAATCCCTTGCTATTACAGAAATCTTTCTTGTATTGGCCCAAATCTATGCCCTTACAAATTTTATCTACCCATGTAATTTTTGAATATATAGATATATGTGGTAAGAGGGTAGCAGGGTGGAGATAGATATTTTTTTGGTAGTACTGAGTATCAAACCCATGGTCTTGTGGTTGCTGGCCAAGAGCGCTAGCACTGAGCTCCATCCCCAGCCCTTGAAGGGCTGTCTAGTATAAAGTTCTTGAGCAGAGGATGCCTTATCTCTGAGGGGGAAAATATGACACTTTTTCCTTTCCTGCTTTTGATCTTGACTCCTATGGTAACATAGGTATGAATCATTCTCAGCAGAATTTATAAAATGAAGTTGCAAGGAGTGAATATAAAACAAAAGAATGGGAGGAACTCGGACAGTTTCACAACTTTGTTTAGAACTAAAGTGTAACCCGGAGGCTAGTTTTTATAATAAATACAACCTTCCTGTGTACACTCATAGACATTTTGAATAGAATCATGCGTTTATCATAGTTTAAACCTTAGTCTGCACAGATTGCCATGTTAGTGACCATAAGTGCCTTTTCCGACAGCCTTCAGAATGGCGTTGCCTTTCATTCGTGGTACTTTTATCTCTTCCCATAGGCAGCAGTTTTGCTGACAGAATAGAAGTATGAAATTACCTTTTAGACAATGGGTGGTAATTTTTCTTTGTTTTGTCATATCTTTGTAGTGTCATATTTAGTTTTCTAGAAATGGGTCGCTTTGCATCTGTCAGGCTAATGCAGACCTTATTGTTTTGCGAGTGTTTGTATTTCAGGAGTCAAGGTATGCTATGGTAAATGTAGTCTTCATTTGGCTAAACATCCTTACTCTTCACTGCAGGGGAAGTGTTTGTTCTGGATGATGGTGGGGAAGTTGACCTGGACCTGGGGAACTATGAGCGGTTCCTTGACATCCGCCTCACCAAGGACAACAATCTGACCACTGGGAAGATCTACCAGCATGTCATTAACAAGGAGCGCAAAGGAGATTACTTGGGGAAAACTGTCCAAGGTACTGGGTTTGCTTGATTTACCTTTAAGGTTCTTAACTTCTTTTGGGTTATAAATTTACTTTGTATGTGATTTCATCATTTTGTCAAGGTATTACTGAAATACGCCTTCAGTTAAAAATTCCGAATTATTTGGCCATTAACTTGAAAAATCATTTGAAGAAGCCACTGCTGCTCCATGAATGGAGTTAGCACTTGTCATCCCAGGCAGGGCACCATGGTTTGAGTCCAGGAGAGCTTCTGGTTTTGCACAGAAATGAGTGTAAAGTGGCAGAGACAACTGGATTAGGGCACTGAGCCAAGGTGGTGTGGATGCTGCACATCTGGGACTTAGTGTATATGGGCAGAGATAAGGAGGCAGATGTGAATGTTGGTTTTCAGGCTTTTCATCAGTATGACATGGACCAGGGTGGGTGTGAAGAGGATTGCTGGGTCTTCCCAAGCCTTCCCAGCACAGCTTCACTTTTAGCTGTGTGCTGTTTTGGGGTTTTATAGAACTGCTTATTCACAATCAGTGTTCTGTTACTTTAAAAAGGTGGAGTTGGCTAAACAATGGCCTGATGGAATGGTGGTAGCCCAAAGTGCTTTTCTCTGAATTACAAAAGTAGGTGTGGGGGCTGGGGATTTAGCTCAGCGGCACAGCGCCTGCCTGGCAAGCACAAGGTTGTGAGTTCGATTCCTGGTACCAGAAGGAAAAAAAAAAAAAAGAGTAGGTGTGTTTTTGGCCTGAGACTTTACTGGACTGTGAGCTGAGTGTCACACCAAGAGGTGGGTCTTTTATCAGGTAGCTCCTTCTAAAAGTGGCTCGCCAATTAAACATTACCAGGTTTGGGGTTGTTCACCTCTCGTTTTGGAGTTGGATTCTAGGTTCTTCTTCTCTTGAACAAAGAATTGAACAAAACAAGCAAAAAGCAGTGCCAAAGTTTATTTGAGAAAATAAAACTAAAGAGTAGGAGAGAGTGAGTTTGGACTGAGTACAGAGAAGAAGAAGGTGAGAGCAAAGAAAAGTACATGCTGTGTATGGGAAGCACAGCCTGGGCTATCGTGGAAAGTTATGCTGTTCGCGGCATTGGTGTGTCCCTTATATTGTCCAAATCTTGAGGAAACCCATGAGAACTCCTACATGCGGGTCCTGAGAGGTGGCAGTGGGATCCCACGCCTCAGGCTGACATCAAATTGAGGCCATCCTAGTTCTCAAGAAAAGTCCACATGCAGGGCTTTGGAACTGTTTTGCACGTACGTTTGGGATCTTGTAACTAACAGGTCCCACCTACTACCCCAGCCAGCTTTGCCACACCCTAATCTCCTATCTCATTTCCCCCTGAGAAACACAGATCCCCATAATTCTTCATGGGGTGCTGAGGGAGCGGAAGTCTCTCTTGTCTAGCTTCTTGAAGCTAGAAGGGGCCATAGGCCTGAGCTGCTGAGGATCATGTGCTCTCTGACTGCCTTGGGGTGCTGTGGCTCCCCAGCTGGGTTGAAGAAAGGAACACCTGTCAGGAAACAATGAGAAAAGAGTGAATGACCATTGAGCTTCACTGTTAGCCCAGATACGAGGAGCAGGTCAGATTTCCACACTTCCTGTAGTGGCGCTGGAGTCTTGCTTGTTGAAGAGAAATCTCAAGTCTTCCAGAGGCTCGCAGGAGTAGCTTTCTCCTTTTGGGTGATGTTGTTCTTCAGACAGTTCAAGTGGGACTGGCTTTATGCTAGAAAGATGAATCCAATTATCTGTCTGCCACCTCTACTGCAGTTGGTGTGGCAAGGATCCCTTCCATTTTGGGTTTAAGTGGTCAGCAGGTGTTCCCTCTCTCCCAGGTTTTTAGCAGAGGTTCCTGACGAAAGAGGTTTGCTTCAGTGACCTGCTGTGAGCTGACAGCTGTGTAACCTGCCTTTTGATGTCTTTAAACAAAGCTACTTTCATCAGTAAATCGGGCAGATCACTGATGTCCTGCCTATGTGCATATATCTAAGAGATGACTTGTTTGCAAGAGTGGCTAACGTCCAGGGCTGTAGACATCAAAGAAACAGGGTTAATAGTAGTACAAGTTTCTGTAATAACCTAGGGATATCTAAGAGCATGCACTGATACTTAGTGACCTATTCTGTTGATTATAAGTAACCTTTTGTCTCCAGGATATCTCTCACCTGATGAGTATCAGGACTTGGAGTCTGTGCCCCAAAGTTAACTTCGTAGTTTATTCTGTTAGTATAACTGTAGCTGCTGTTGGTCTCAGGTAAGGTGGCCATCCAGTAGCCATTCCACCTAATATCTTTGAATAAGTATGCCTCTGGGCAGGGTTCTTGCCCTAGCCTTTGGGTCAAGACCCCCAAAGCAAGACCCCTTTTTTCTTCTTCTCCTCCCCTCCTGTTGCCACTCTGTGCCACCTCTCTCCCTCCCCCTCCTCCCCTTCCTGTCCTTCCTCTTCCCCTCTTCCCTCTCTTCCTCCTCATCCTTTTTTTGAGACAGGGTCTCACTATGTAGTTCGGGCTGGCTTTGAACTCATTATGTAGCACAGGCTGGCCTCTGCCTCCTGAGTGCCGTGATTACAGGTGTGCACTACCACACTCAGCCTCCCTTTTCTGATACACAGAGAAAGGAAGGTTTTAAGTCAGGTATTCCCAGTGCTGGGGCCTAAGTAAGGGCATGCTTATTTTTCTGAAGGCACTGTTAGTCACTTTTGTCCATGCTACAGGCACAGACTCGGGGCACAGGCTCATGTCAGCCTAATACAAACGCTTTGCCATTACTAATTCAAAATTAGGTAGCCAAATCTTAAAAAAGCCAGGCATCCCCAGGAAAGAATGAAGCTGTTGTTTGGTGGCAGGAGGCCCAAGATCACAGATAGCCTAGATCTGGTCCCTAGACAACCTTCTTTCCTCAGGTGTAAGAATATATCCCAAATGTTACACTTTTTGAGGGATAGCTGAACCTTTTCTTTGGAGACTTTCTGTCTCTTTTTAGCTAGAAGGTTGAGAGTCTATACAGTGTTGTAGTTAGATAATTTCTAAGTTGGGCTGCAAGCTAGAATATCTGTATACTGTAGGGTGGCTTCCTGTTTAAGCTTTAAGTTCCTCGAGTCTTTCTCTGCTTGAGCAAAAAGTGAGGACTATCTCTAAACCCTTGTGGGCGAACTGTCCAAGCATATCACTGCTTTTTCTCTTAAAGTGGGATTTTCCTACTGAAAGGCAAACAGAAATTGGGAGTCTGGATGTAGGGGGATGGCGAAAAATGCATCTTTTACATCTAAGACTGAAAACGAGTTAGTGTCCCCTGGAGAGAATAGTGCGTGGATCTGCCACTGGAGGCTGGATGGGAATGACTGCCTCATTAATGAGGTGGAGGTCTTGTACCACCTGATACTCTCCTGAGGGTTTTACACTGGGAGAATGAGAGTGTTGCAAGGTGACTGGCAAGGCTTCAGAAGGCCAGAGGTGAGGAACTTCTCTGTGAGAGGCTGGAGGCCATTATGTGCCTCCTTAGGGGCCACTGCAAGCACCATAGCTCCTGAGCATTTCCTTTGAAAAGAGTCACAAAAGCCTGAACATAAGCCATTTTATTCCACCTTGCATGTTTTAAGCAAAAAACTGAAGAACAGTCTCATAATTTAAAGTACCATCCCCTACCCATCTCTCACCATCTCCCAGTTTATATTGGACCCAAACTGTATCATAATGATAGATAGGTTGCTCCTGTTTTAGATCGTCAGGATGAAACCTTTCCCTCTCATCAAGAATAGGCCTAGTTGTGATGTCAGTGAAATTTATGTGGTTGTGAGATCAAATAGATTTCCCATCCGCTTGTCTGGGGACTTACAGAGAGGAGACAACTAGGTGCTCCTTAAGGAGGCGCAGCCCATATAAGGAGGAAGCCTGAAGTCCTATGAGACTTTACAAAACCTAGACAGACATCTCCATCTGAACCTCAGAGTGATGCCAGCATCGTTAGGCACAGAAGAAAGTCCCCTGGGGGCTTTGGTCTCCACAGTTTGACCCATTTACTCACTAGGCCATCTGTGGGCCTTGCCTAGTGCATACTGCCATGAAGCAAGGGCAAACTTGCCCAAGCAAAGTTCCCTTAGCCACCTATCTGAACCCCTTGATGGTTCAACTTGCATTTATTCTAAGCCCCTCGATGACTCAGTCGCTATTTTGAGTCCCTTGATGACTCTTACTTAATCAAGATGGCTCTTCTTAATCAGAAACAATGTGGTGCTGAGATCCCACACTTCAGGCTGATGTCAGGTCTAGAAAACCTGCTCGAGTTCTCTGAGAAGTCCATGGGCAGGGTTTTGGGAACTATTCTGCACATGTGTCCAGGATCTTAATAGGTCACGCCCACCTCCCCAGCCAGCTTTGCTACGTTCTAATCTCTTGTCTTAGTGTGACCATATTCTGGGCTAATTGGGTCATGTTTGGGTCTTAGCCCTGCCACTTAGCAGCTTTTACATGGGCGGATTGTGTAACCTCTTGAGGTGTAGTTTCCCTTTCTATAAAATTGAGATAGTAACAGTGCCCGCCTCCCTAGCTATTAGGAAGTCTGAGTAGCTACATCAGTAAAGTGTTTCCCTGACACATAGAAAGGATCAATTAGGAATTAAAATGTTGCCCATCAGAGTTTGTTGTTCTAGGCCTCCAGTGTATCTATTCATCTGTTTGTTGTCCATCAAATATTTATTGAACATTCACTGTGGTCAGATCCTTACTGGTGCTGAGGATCAATGAAAACAAGACCAACAAGGTCAGGGTCCTATCAAGATGCCTGATTGGAGCTGCAAAGAAGAGAGGAATTGAAAGAGGCAAGAAAGTGTGACTTGGGAAAAGCCACTTGGGGTCAGATGGTCATAGGAAGCCTTCGAGGAGATAATTTTTGAGCTGAGAAGCACAGCAAGTACAGAGACCCAAGGCCACAGAGGGCTAAGGTAAAGAATGAAGAGAAGGCCTTGTGACCGAGGCTGCTGACCAACGGGTCTGTTGGAGGTCAGCTGGGTGGGCCTTCAGAGTCACAGCAAGGAGCTTGGATTTGACTCAGAACAGTGGGAAGCACTGAAGAGTTTAAAATGTGGGAGTGATGAGTTCTTATTTGGCATTTTTAAAAGATTGCTTTGTCAGCTGTGTGTGTGATAGGTAACAAACACCCTGTGCACGAGGCATTGCTGTTTAATCCGAGCTTTAGAGTTAAATAGTAATCTTGCTCCCTAGGAGCTTGCAGCCTGAGCCCAACAGCTATGATTTTTAAGAAGTGTTCAGTTCTAGCTGGCGTTTATTGAGCTCTGGCATGCTGGGTTATCTCATAAAATTTTCACAACTTATAAAGTAGGAGTATTACCTCCACTTAATAGATGGGGAAACCAAGCTTAGGAACAGCAGAGTGATTGGTCCAGTGCACAGCACCTAATGAGGGGGGCACAGGTTTGAACCTGGACTCCACATGCTGTGCCCCAGCCACTCTGCAGTGAGTCTCCACCCTGTGGTAACTGGAAACAAAGTGGGACAGGGTCCTGGTGGTCTTTCGTTCTTGGAAAAGCACTCAGGAAGATGTGTGGTGTCCCCTTTCAGACTTAGCTATTGAAAATAGGGGCGGCCAGCTGGTCCTTTGTGTCTTTGTGCAGCCAGAGGAGTGGACTCTGCACTGGAGGGCTTCAGAATGCCACTCGACCTCTTCCTCTAGCAGTGCTTCCGGTGGCAACTAGAACTCTGGAGAGGAGATCGTGGGATGCGTGAGCCCAAGATTTCCTGGGGCTTTCCTTTTGGGAGGGGGCCCACTGCTGTTCTGTCCAGACAAAGAGTGCAGCAATTTCATGATAAATATATTTGCCTTAGTGATGGACAGATTGAGTGACGGGTTTCTTTTCTGTTTCCTAGTTGTTCCGCACATCACAGATGCAATCCAGGACTGGGTGATGAAACAGGCGTTAGTACCTGTAGATGAAGATGGCCTGGAACCTCAAGTGTGCGTTATTGAGGTTTGTATGATTCCTGCATCTGTGGATACTCCACTCGCTCGTCTCCTTAGTCAGCCAGACAAGACAGTCCCAGGGAAGCCTTTGTCCCCGCTTCCCCGCTCAGTGCAGTATGGCAGATGAGGGCATGGCAGTGGTCATGTGGAGTGGCCGTGCCAGGGAGAGCAATTCTTATGTAAATACTCCTTTTCAGCGTTTATGGCTTCACTTAGTGCCACCTGTACCAGAAAGAGTGACAAGACACGTTTTCATCTGTCTCTTGGAGTTGGCAGACTTTTGCTTTGCTCTGGAGAGAACATGCCTCTCACTAAATGAGCTTTTTTTTGGTTTTGGTTTCTGTACTGTTTGCTCATCTCAGCCATTGGATTTCAGTGTTCCTTCAAAATCAGGAGACTCGCCAGGCGTGGTGGCGCATGCCTATAATCCCAGCACTCGGGAGGCTGAGGCAGGAGGAGCGTTGCGAGTTCGAGGCCAGCCTGGACTACAAAGTGCATTCAAGACCAGCCTGAATTGTATAATGAGACCCTGTCTCAAAAAGACAAAAAAAAAAAAAAATCAAAATCAGGAGTTCTTGTAGTTTGTTTATAACTGATACTTTTTGATTTAGAAGTTATTTATGGTGAAAGAAATAAGATCGGATTTTTTGCTTTGTGGCTTTCATGCAAGTAAAATTCCTGGTCCTTCTCTCACCTGACCTTTTTCTTGAAATGCTACGGAAAGTTTTGTAGTAGCCTTGGGGAATTGTGAACCTATCCAGAAGAGTCACCTTGCAGCACAAAGAAACGTCTGTGACTGACATTCTGTAGGGCTGTACAATCCATGTCACTGTTACTGGCCACTGAATCAAGGGGACAGAGCAGATGCTAGAAAGAAAAGCACCAGCGAGAAAGGTTGAGTCCTTTCCCTCAAAAATAGTGTTGTTTTTCCAGCTTGGTGGGACAGTGGGAGATATTGAAAGCATGCCCTTCATCGAAGCCTTCCGGCAGTTCCAGTTCAAGGTCAAAAAGGAGAACTTTTGTAATATCCACGTCAGTCTAGTTCCTCAGGTAAGGCATTTACAGTTAGGTTTTGTGGGAGAGAAGGTTGATTTTCACTTGTTAATCTAATAGTTTTCAGTACTTGAGGTACACAGTACTGGGAATAAAGAACTTGTTTGTGAATTTAAGCTTGTGATCATTATGTATTGTGAAAAGATCAAGTGGAAAACATTTGGAAAATGAACCAGGGGAGCTGCTGTTGATACTGGTGGATTGACCTTATGTGCTTGGCTTACTGAATAGCGAAAGTTAAAGCTTTTTTTTTAAGGCAAAATTTCACAAAGATAAATACAGTGGAGAGAAGTCAATAGTAATACAGTTGAGAAGGCAAATAGACATGTAGAAACTGACCAGGCTGACCTGAGAGCACTGAACACTCAGCCTGTGGCAGGGAAAGCAGAAAAGCGGCTCTGTTCGCCCCACAGAGTATCCTGGGTGTCAAGATGGGCAGGTTCTCTGGGCGGGGGGAGGTGGGACAGAGGAGGTAGACCCTGACACCCCTTCCCCACTATGTACCGTTGGGCATCAGCCTCTCCCACCTTGATGGAAGACTGGGCCCCAGCGAAAGTTTCTGGATAGGCAGGCACTGGGGCCGGTTGAGGGCAGCAACCCTGAGCCACACACAGAGCTTCTTGGGTGTGACATTGTGTTCTTGAGATGCTGTGGAGATCCCTTGCTTTCTTCTACCCCTTGGTTCCCAGAAGCTCTGCCGTCTTCTACATGCCATACAGGAAGAGCTTTCCTGGGAATGACTATCCCGGAGGATAAGACACTGCTCCCAGGTCTCCCCAGAGAAACGAGCTGGCCAGAGACTCGCAGTGATCAGCCTGCCACTCACATGGGCTTCCAGTTAGCTGTTAAGTATGAGCTGATAGCCAGTGATTACAAGGAGCTAAACTGCATGCATCAGATAAAAACTGTGCATGCCATAGAAGGGAACATGTGGAGACAAAGAATACATAGAAGTAAGAATTGTCTGGTGCATGCCTGTAAAATCAGTATGTGGTTGGCTGAGGCAGGAGGATCACCATGAATTTGAGGCCAGCTTGGACTACATAGTGAGTTCAAGGCCAGCCTGAACTACATCGCTCAAAAAAAAAATATATATATATATAAATAAATAAAGTAAAGAAATTGGCATAGTTTGGTGGTATATGCGTATAATCCTAGTAGTATGGGAGGCTGAGACAGGAAGTTCACAAGTTCAAGTTCCAATTACTGACTGGGCAACTTAGTGACGTAGAAAGGCCCGGTTTTTACAACATTTTTTTAAAAAGGCCTGGAGACGTAGCTCAGTGCGAAGGCCTTGGGTTCAATCTCCAGTAAAAAAAAAAAAAAAAAAAAAAATTGGATAGCAGAGATGATAAGAGAAGGTTGATAAAATAATTTATGAAATAGCACAGAAACCAGGGGACAGAGAATAAGAGAGGAAAGATAAGTTCGAGGTCTGGTTCAGGAATTCTGTCTTCTATTGGTAGGATTTCTAGAAAATAAAAACAGAAATGGAGAGGGGAATATAATCTGGCTCAGTAAACTATGGCCCCAATGCCAGAACTCATACTACTCTTGACAATAAAGTTTATGGAAGTAGAATCACGTCCTTTTGTTGATTGCTGTCTATGGTTGCTTTTGTACTAAAACAGCAAAGTTTAGTACCTATGACAGACACCATATAGTCCACAAAACCTAAAATTAATTATCTGGTCCTTTACAGAGAAAGGTGTTTTGTTTTTTTTTTAAGAGCAGAATATATTTATTGAGGGGAAAAAAGCTTTGTTGGAGAGAGGGCCAGAAGGGGGCCCAAGTGGGTTGCCCAGAGTTTTCTGACCTTTGATCTAAATAAGGAAATTTCTGGATGAGAGTTTGTGGATTGAAAAGACCCACTGAATATGCAGCATATTGGATGAAAAATGACCTCACTGAGCCACATCATTATGAAAGGTCAGAACAATGGGGCCAAAATCTAAAAGGCCCTAAAGAGAAACATACTTTCTACTAAAGAGCAAAATTCAAGAATCAATATGGCTGTACCAAAAGCTAAAAGACAATGAAGCTATTGTGTTAAAATATTCTAAGAGGAAATCATTTCCAACCTAGAATTCTGAGTGCAAGAAATCTACCTCTTATGTGTGAGAGGAGAATAAAGATAATTTAGTACAGAAAAGAGTGTGGCATGTGGTTTGTCTGACAGTATTTTATCCTTGAAGAGGGCTCCGTGTGCTGGAAGCGGTGGTGTAGGGAACAGGAATGAGAGGGCTGATCCTCATTTAGCAGAAAAATCCACAGAAAATGCCTCAAGCTAAATGTCAAGTAGCAATAGAAACTAGAAGGATCAATTAAAAGAGCTCAAGTGGTGGGGTGTGGCTGGGGGGTGGGTAGAGCACTTTACACAAGATCCTCTATGATCTCTAGCCTGAAAAAATAGTCAAAGGGCCATTGTTTGTAGGTTTGGAGAGCAGAAGTAGGTAGAGAAGCCCAGGTACCACTGTACCTCAGTAGAACTATTTGTCTCTAAAATATATCCATGTATAACATCAACAAAAATACAAGCTAAGTTGTGCAAATGATCAGATTCTCTATGAAAAGGGGTTCAGGGAAAAGTCATACTTGAAAATTTTTTTTTCAAGTATTGTAGAGAAACTAACCCTCTTTTTTCTTTTGTAAAATAGCCAAGTTCAACAGGAGAACAGAAGACAAAACCCACCCAAAACAGTGTTCGGGAACTTAGAGGGCTCGGGCTTTCCCCAGACTTGGTGAGATTCCCGGGGTGACCTTACATCTAAGGAAAACACACCTCCGTGACAGGCTAGGCCTTCGTCTGCTTGTCAGGCCCTTGATGATAACTGATAGTGAAGAAAGTAGGTTTAGTGTTTTGAAGGAGGAATAGTTTGTGAGATTTTCTTACTGGCATATATGAAGCCTTACATGCCTTATGCCTTATTTCTTCTTTGAGTCCTTTTAAATATTCTCTTTTTCTCTCCAGCCCAAGAACATTCATTGGAGAGGAAAACCCCAGTTAGTAATGCCTCTAGTTTTATTCACCTGCCTTTCATTGGTATTACCATCTTCCTAATGGTTCTCTAATTTGGGATTTGGGAATTTCATTTTTTAAAATAAGCAATAATGTTTTTGTGGATTATGTGCATTGTGCCAAGAACCAACATACTCACTCATCTTAACAACGTGATGTCTATTTTGAGTTCATCTGGGGGATACCCAGCTTTGTGTAACCCTTCCTTCCTTCCAAGCCATCTCGTTTTCTTTCTTGCCAGGTGGTGTGCAGGTGCTCAAATCCTCTGGATACATCTGTGAAAGAGAAAATATCAATGTTTTGCCATGTGGAACCTGAGCAAGTAGGTACAAATTCCATCCCTCTGGAATTGGCTTCTGATCGTCCGAAACCTCTTGACTGTGATCAGCTTTATGAGGCTTGTTGTTATTTAGTAATTAGAGATGGTAGATTGTCCTTTAGAAGAACTGACACTTGTTGGCTCTGTGACTCACCATCGCCGCCATCTGTGGATCCCCAAACATACCTGTCTCTCCCCGCCTCTTCCTGCTCTCAGCACTGCTTGTTTTTATCTCCATCCAGGCTGAATGTCTTTCTCTTCACCTAATGCCCCACACTCTTCTCTCCTCTCGTGTCCCTGCTTTCTATAGCTGCTAATTTGTCAGGAATCAGGCTTTCCCTCTCCCTGCTGGCCTGGCAGCCTCTTCCTCATTTGCATCCTTCAGGATCCAGCTGAGACATATTTTCTGAGATGCTTTACCTGTGACACCTCAACCCACAGGGCTAATCACTTCCACCTCTGGGCAGCCCATCTGCCTCACGTATGCCTGCCTGTACACACCCATGTGTCCGTTTCGCTTTCTTTACACACTGCAGGCTTCCAGAGAGCCCCTTCCTCATTCAGCTTGATGTTTCTGGTGCCTGGGATCTGGGTGTTGTAGTCTTTTAGTCTTCTTGTTACTGTGCTTATTGGAGGGGACCTGTGGTACAGAAAATCGAAACTTTGGTACCTTTGCTGTATTTAAGTATGCTGCTTAATGCAGAAATTATATCTGTCATTAGTTGAGATTGTGTCATTGGTCAGCATTTGTCAGCTTTTCATCACTACCAAAAAACACCTGAGGCAGCTAACTTGGTAAAGAAAAGAGGTTTGGCTAGCTCACAATTTAGGAGGCACATTCTAGACACCACAATACATGCTCTGGGAAGGTCCTGTGGCCACTGGCGGTGTGTGTGTGGGGAGTATGGTCAAGCCAGAGACAGAGGGAGGGACCAGGTTTGTTCCTTTTACAGTAGTCCTCTCTGGAAATGTAGTTGCAGGAGAAATGTGTTAATTCCATCTGAGGGCAGGACTTCCAGTGGCATAGGGACCTCTACGCCCAGCCTCTAGGAGGTTCCACAGTACCTCCCAGTACCTCCCAGTACCTCCCAGTACCTCCCAGTACCTCCCAGTACAAAGCCTCCCTGAGCCCAAGGCTTCAGTCACATGTCCCCTAGGGGGCACCAGACCACATCCAAATGATAGCAGTCAGGTTTGTCTGATGGAGACTAGAAGGGAAGTTGAGATCAAGGGATTTAAAGACATGGTTATGGAGCATTTGTGTTACTACTTGATGGCCTGAGGATCTGGAGGCTGAGAAGGACTGCGGCCTGGAGAGGGGACAGGAAAGCAGCAGGGTTAAAATAAAAGTAGTCCACTTAGTGAGATTCTGAGGGACACTGAGATGACTAAAATCTTTGCCTGACATGAGTAGAGCAGGACAGCCCTCCACCTGTGAGATCGGGGCCCTCTCCTCAAAGCTGGGCGTGGAGGGGGGTCACTGGGTGGGGTCCGCGGTTCATGCCAGCACGCAGGGCAGCGTCAGCTCCATGCTCCATCAGCCCTTTATCATGCCTGGTTATTTTAGATACTTCTGTCGTAGCAAGCTGACTATTTGTGTACTCTGTAACAGAACTGATTTTCATTACATTTATTTACTATTGAAAATGTGACATGTATTTCTATATTTAAATTTTAAGTCTTTTGCCTAGTTTTAAAATTTAGTTGTTCATTGTACTGAGTTGTAAGAGCTCTTTATATAGTTTGAATACAAGTCTTTCGTATATATGATTTACAATATTTTTCCAGCCTTTTCATTTTATTAATAGTGTCTTTTGGAGCATAAAAGCTTTTAAAATTTCAGTTTGTCTTTTTTTTTTCTGTTACGCTTTTATGTCATATCTAAGAACTCTTTGCTTAACCAAGGTCGTGAAGGTTTTCTTCTATTTTTTTTCTAACAGTTTTATGTCTTATGTGATCTGCTTGAAGTTAATTTTTGTGTATAGTGAGGGGTAAGGATTGAAATTCATCTTTTTGGATAGCAGTTGTCCCAAACTAATTTGTTAAAAAGATGATCCTTTGATAATATCCTACAATGTTCTTTATAAAGGTGGCTTTTAGCTTTACTTGTCTTTATAAGATTGTTTAAATTTACTTATAACTATTCCTAAGTTTCATTATTATAGTGACATTTAAAAAAAAGGAATTTCCTGTAGACATATGGCCACACACAGGACACCCTGGCAACCTTTGTCCTTTGATCTGTAGCCTAACACTTTACTAGAATTCTGTTAAATCTCACTGTTTACCTGTAAATTTTCTTGAGTTTTATGGATGAGTAGAAATGACATATGCATTTAGTGGCAGTTATCTCTTTTCAGTTTATATTTTGTTTCTTACCTAGTTGCAATGGCTAATATCTTCACATTGCTTAATAGTGACAGGTAGCCATTTTTTCCTAGTTCTGGACTTTATTTTTTTTATTTTTATTTTTTTTTGGTTTTTCCCCGGTACTGGGAACCGAACTCACAACGTTGCGCTTGCCAGGCAGGCGCTTTGCCGCTGAGCTAAATCCCCAGCCCCTGGACTTTAAATAATAAACACTAATATTAAATGTTAAACCACATGATGTATTATGAATTGGTCTGGGTTTTTAATCAAGTCTGTATTCACAGAGCTGACTTCATTTCTCCCTTTTATTTTTTGCTGTAGTGAGTTCAGTTGTAAATTCCCTAGTGCAGTGGTTTTCAAAGTTGGCTGTGTATTCAACTCACTTACGGAGCTTTAGACAACACTGAGGTTTGCCTCCAGCCCTTAGTTCTAGTTTAGGTGGCCTGGGCATTTGGATTTTCCCCCTAATGATTTCACAGCGCAGTAATAAGCTGAGCTTGACAACCACAGCACCAAGGGAAGCTGTGCAGGGATTCCTGGGACAGGTCCTCCTGGAACATGTTTTTTGTTGTTGTTTTAGGAATTTTTACATTCATTTTCACAATAGGTTAGTCACTAATTTTCTTCTCTGGTTTTGAGTCAGTTTTGGTGATTTATCTTTTTCTACAAAATTGCCATTTTTTTTGGTTTTCAAATTGAGAATTTTTCCTGAAGGTCACACAGTAGGAGGCTGTTAAGCTCCATTATCTTTTCATTTTATTAAGTCATTTCCTTTTTTCAAACAGGTGATCTGTGTCCATGATGTCTCGACTATCTACCGAGTCCCCTTGTTATTAGAAGAGCAAGGGGTTGTAGATTATTTTCTTCGAAGACTTGACCTTCCTGTTGAGAGGCAGCCACGGAAAATGCTGATGAAGTGGAAAGAGATGGCAGACAGGTTTGCCTCCCATGAGGAGCTGGGAATGCCAGCCTTTTCTCTCTTTCTTTTATTTATTTATTTTTTTGTTGTGCAGTTTTTTGTTGTTTCTGCTTTTCTGAGACATGGTCTCGCAGTGTAGTTCAGGCTGTCCTTAAACTTACTTTGTAGGCTAGACTGGCCTTGAAAGCAGAGCAGTCTTCCTGCCTTAGCCTCCTGAGTGCTGGGATTACAAGTGTGCAGCACCACAGCTGGCTCTAAAAAGCACATATTACAAATCATACAGCTAAACCTCAATGTCTGTGAAAGACTGGTTCCAGGATCCTGCTCAGATAGCAAAATCCATTGGTGCTCAAGCCCCTTACATAAAATGGTACAGTATTTCCATATGACTTGTAACGTTAAATCATCTGTAGATTACTTATAATACCTACTTATGTTTACTTATAATACCTATTTACCTTGTATAAATGCTACACAAGCAGTTACACCCTATATTTTTAAAGAAATATTGACAAGAAAAAATGTCTGTATGTGTTTAGTACAGACACAATATTTTAAAAAATATTTTTTACTTGTGTTTGGGTGAATCCATGAATGCAAAGTCCGTGGATACAGAGAGCTGATTATAATTTAATAATACTTTAGAACACTTACATGAGAGAAGAATGAGTCAGCAGTGCCTCTAGAGCTGTCTGTGTGGATTAAACACGCAGGGTGCTGGGGTTCGTGGGGGCCAATCTTGATTGTGGCTCTGCTCTTCCTGAGAAGTACCCTCTTCTCACTCTATTCATGGGGTCCCAGCTGTACCAGGTGACCTACCTTTTCCAGCCATATCTCCCTGTGCCATAGCTGATCAGACCAAGGTGGGTGCCAGGCCCAAGCTGGGCTAGAGTCTCCTTCCCAGGAATTCGGAATTAGGACTGAGGAGCAGCCAGAGCGAATGAGGCGGGAACAGACACATAAAGCTGGGACTGCGGAGGGCAGCCACTGGTAGCGGCTAAATGGA